CTTTAAATACGTAGATGACCGACGTCGTCTCCTTTGCCTAGGTTGTGTTGGCGAGTTAGAAGTTGTATGCTCTTCAGAAGAATGATTATTACTATCATCATCTACATCCTGAACGCAAGCATCAGACTCTGACGAACTGCGTCTACGTCCATATGTACAGACATATCTCACGAAAAAGTACTTTAGAGTTGGATCATCACTGTTCTTTTTGCATACTGACATAACGTACTTAGTATGCGTATACTAAAAAAATAATTATTAACCACAGAGGTCATATTACCTTATGTACTTCTTTCAAACAGGTCTCAAAATTGTCCCAACTTGTAAATCTTCGAGATAACATAATATCATTGAAGATTCGGCCTATATCATGCATCATCACGATGGAATCGTCTTCGTTACTTGAAGAATGAACGTTATCAGATATAGTGTGGCTGAACTCAATTCAAATCTAGAAATGTCTTGATTTGACCGCTTCTGAAAATTTTCACGAATTGTCGATGTGACGCACCAATCATTTTGCGACAGTTTAACCTTCAAGTGCTCGCAACCCCCATCAGTGGACGATACCCTAGGAGCGTTGCCATGGTGTGACACCCCGATGACTTTTAGCGTACCGCTCATCACTGTACGGATCCACGGGGTTTTCACCTGCGACCTTACTCTTTGGACATGAATCGCGCCTACCTGTTGAGCCATAAATACCGTTGCTACCATGCGAGGCTCAAGATCATGTATTATACATCCGTAACCTTCACAGCCATCTAGCCGACGCATATCACCTAGTTAAGATCAAGCTACAAAATGCTAACAAACACCAAAAGGATGTGTACGATCGCAAGGCGAATGGACCGGTGTATAAACCTGGAGATCGTGTTTGGCTGCACCGTCCTTTGGCCCCACCAGGGACATGCAGCAAGTTCCACCAACCTTGGCAAGGATCTTATAAAGTTGTTTACTCGGTCTTCCACTACATCCGTCCTACTTAACCTCCAACAGCCTCAAGACGATGTTATGACGGCACACTACAACCAATTGAAGCCAGACAGAACAACCGTGTACTCAGATACCCCGTTCGTCAATCCACTGACTGCCGTCAGCCACTATGAAGTGCCACCAGAAGGAGGGGTAGCATACCCATGTCCAGCACCAGGCACTGAGGACAGTGCCTCATGGAGAGTGGGGGTACTGAACGTACTAGAAGAAGAGGAACAAGCCTTAAGCAAGCTGAACCTGCAGAACAATGAATAAGCCCATTTTGTAATAAGTTCCCCATTTTGTACTCGAACAGCGTCTTACAATTTCTAAATATATCTCTGTTGTGCCAGTACTCCATGTTCTTACTTCAATGGCATTTGTCGGTCCTGACTGTTGTGTTGTGTTTCAGATCGCTCCTGCTTGTAAGTAAACGCTAATAGTACGTGCTACAAATGTAATACGTTCGTTTGTGTTCATATAGTCCTACCTGCCTTAAACTGCACTGTTTCCGGAATTTCCAGTTAGCACATTAGTTCGAATACTTCTAATTATCATAGCTTTATATAAACCAAATAGAGTGAGGAAGTTACAGGACGGAATTAAGAGATTGATAAAAGGGAGTGCGTAATAAACAAACAGCGTTGTCAGAGTTGGTATGGGAAGAACAGAGAACTCCTTATTGTATGATTTGACAATCAGATACATTAAGCAATGGCAGTAACACCGTAAAAGAAATTTGAGGACATGGTTTGGAATGTGAGTAATCGGACAATTAAAGACTTTAACGTATCACTTCGGCAATTGATTTGTATTTTGAACCATGCCTTTAGATGTTGAGCTGAATCGCCCCATTAAGCAGCACCGCAACACAATATATAGAAGAAAGTATAATGCTTACCTCATAAAATACGACATTGTTAAATGAGTGGTAAATGTAACAGTAATGTTTTGCTACAAAGTGGTCAGTCATCAGTAGTAAGAGATCAATCGACCTATACTACTCCTTGAAGTTTGTTGTAAAGATCCAATCTTGCTTTTAGATTATCGAGAGGAGGTACTGACATTACGTGTTCATGCAGTGAATTCCAATAATTTGCTATTCGGGACGTGAAACGGAACTCCAGACGTAAATGATTAGCTCCCGTATTTCGAACATACTTAAAATGTCTTCTCAGATGGTCGGTCCTAATAAGAAAGCAAAGACACGATAGGCCAGTATTAGGTCGGCCTGTTAAGCATGAAAGGCCTTGACTGAAACCATGTAGTTCCCTGGCTAAAAGATCATTACCTTCCAGCAACTTTCTCTAGTAACTCACCCATAATACTTTACGCAAATGAAGATGTGAAAACAAGCATAAATGCGACTCCACGCTGTATCGAATAGCGTAGTATTATTTATTACGGTTTATCTGTAAACAAATTGCTAATCATGTTGTTTACAGAAGTATATTTGATGTGACCAAGTGGATTAAATACGATAATCTGAGCAGATTTTAACTGATAACACACAAATTGGCAACAAATCTGACTGGTAACCGCAGAGTTTCATATTTTAGTAACCTGTGGGATAATAGGAATTGAAGTGTAGCACATGACTGGGAATTTGGAAAAATACTACATCAAGTGCTTAGGGAACCAAAAATTTACATTGAAAGAGCGACTAAATAATTTTCATTGATTGATTAGACGATAAAGAAGATTGTTCGATGAGGTTCTTCTGACGACTCAGCAGCATGAAACCAAATGTGGAACAAGAAAGTTATCCTTCATTTCCCAACGTCTTGGACTGTTAATTTCTGCCTCAGATTTTGCGTATTATTGTTATCGGAAGAATCCTGTCAAACTGACTTAAGTCGAAACGTTAAAGATCCCAACCAGTTTAGCATATTTTATGAAGACAAGCATTTTGATCAACCCCTTATTATTAACTTGATAGTAGAAGGCCAAATAGCTTTTTGGAAACTTATTTCAAACATATTGGAGCAACAGATGAAACCGAAACGACCGGGTAGACTCGGTGTACTTATAGGTCTCCATGTCAATGTCGACGGGTAAGGGAAACCCAAAAGTTTGGTAAGATCTTCAAGGGTATACGGGACGAAGATGCTACACAATGGTCAAATATTTTGTGATATCTTTATAATTGTTATAGTAATATTATGCTAATTTAGTACGAAATCTCTTATAACAGTTGGGATTTACTTAAAAATAGTTCAGAATGATAAAAAAAACCGATACCAGGAAATTATACTATTATTAGTCAATAAAATGACACGCTCATAAACTAATTATGAAACAAAAATAAACGCCACTATAACCGATTTGATCTATTGGAACGTAATAGTGCCTGAAGTTTACTGGACGCCTGATGAACCTAACACTTCAATTACCAGTCAGTTCCCTGTCCATAGTAACAGTTCCACTGAACATGGACCTCTGTGTTTCAAAAGAGAATTAATAATATAGTTTGTAGAATTAAAAAGCAGTATGCGAACATATCTAAACGGATTAATGGGTTTACTCAAGGATTTTGCAACGTATACATAAATCTAAAAACGATTAAAACAATTATATTACTACCTGGTAAATTCCTCAAAGTACTATAAAACCAAAAACACTCAAGATAACGATACTGATTTACTCCTAATTTTATGAAATTCACTGAAATAGTTTAAAAATGAAGCACTTGAAACTTTAATAAAAGGTAGCATAAATGACTGAGGGATAGTGTGCACATAGTCGTTACATGATTATACTTTATTTTCCCATCATTTTGTGATCGTCTCTAGATAAACAAATGTTGAAGATTGACTGCTTACCTATGATACAGCACAAAATGCATGTTTGTATTTCCTACTAGTATGTAAATATATTTGTTGGGATATTCAGGAAAATATCCCAAAAATTATCCTGTTAAGCCTAATGCTATCCTTGGACATGAAATGGTATCATCTTATTGGTCAATATTTATTTAACGTGTTATTTTCCTGTTGGCCAATATTGTACAATGTTATTTTCTATTTTGTGGTACGTTGTGGTCTGCTTGACTGGTATATAAACAAAGTATGTTTGAAATATAATGATTCATATCTCCGAGGCTGTGACTTGTGTTCTGGACTCAACTGGCTGGGTTATACAGGGAAGCAGGACCAATCAGAACCCTAGGCCGTTCTACGTGTTTGTGCGTCTTTGGTCCGATCAATAATTCGCTACCCCTTAATCAGCATTTATTTTCACAGTTACAGCAATATTACTCTAATTACTTTATTTAAAATGAATTTTCTCATAGACATGAGAATGTATCACATTAGGTAGTTAGTACAAAAGAAGTAACTGGAATGAAATCTCTAATGGCTTCGCCACAGCTACGATCAAAGATGAGGGACCATGTGAATACACATAGCGGTTAGTAGAATGTGCATACAACCTGCTATTATCACAAAAACTGAAACTGGTCAACCTAGGTATCTCTATAACTGGTGTTCAGGTTTTTGAATAATCTCGAGTAAACCCATAATTCTATAGGAGATTTAGCCTGCGTTAAATACTCAGTTAACGGGATACTATTTATTGGAGTCAAATATAGAGGAAATTAGCCTCTACACAGACAACCCCTCCATTAGCCACAGGTTATTCTTGGGGAATCAACTAATATAACCATAGTCCAGTTTTCGATAGATTCCACTATAAAATAAGAAAGATTGATTCAGCCCACTAAATCGTGATGTCTAAAGGTTAACACATTTTGCGAATGACTGTCACAACATTGAACCATGTAACAAAAAATACCACTTTTTCCAATATGTAACCTATCTAACACTTCTGGTATGAGGGAAATAGTGCACTCGTAGTAATTTATAAATATAAGAGTATTGAACTGAAGCACCTCATAATTTTTACAAGTTGGAACCCGTACGAAAACAGGAAATGGCCAACAAAATCCAATAAAAAAACAAGGTAAGAGTGAATAATCAAGTATTTTTGTTTACAAAATTATGCACACACTATAACATTACATATATTCAGCGCATAAACTGATTTTCATGTTCTGTGAGTATTTTGGCAGATTGTTTTGCATTAAGAAATAGAGACCTTACTTCTTCGATATCTGAAGGTTCGACTTCATCTCTTCCACTCAACTGAGCAAGACGACACGCCGGGGTCAAAAGTTGGACAGCATATCTAGGAAAATAGCAAAAAACTGTTTAATTTGGTGAGAAACAAAGAAATTCAGCAAGACAAATATTGTACAAAACAATCTTAAGTTTCTAAGCTGAAATATAAATATCTATAACCATGAGATTATAACAACTGCCGTGGGCGTTCTACTCATTGCCTTCGTACGACGAGTGTTATTTACAGAAATGAGAGAAGGAAAAGTGGATGTTCAGAAATTCAACCGGCTTGGTGGGACCACGTAACAGAGTTGGAAAACCGTGATTTCAAACCAATTGTACACATATGGGTTCCAAGATCCTAAGGAAATGATTAATGTACAAACCCACTTTGGTCACCGACTACCATGGGACATTTCCTAACGTAGCCTCACTGCTTTGTCGATAAAACTGATACGGTGGGCCAATTAGAAATAAGTGAATGTGATTGGCCGAAAAATATATTTCATTTTCAAGCAATGAAACATAAACCACTAATGGGCTTAATTTATACTGGACAGATACATATGTATGTAAATGAGCACACATACAATCGATTGGGCTTACCCAAACAAACATTTTCCTTAGCTTGTCTCTTTTCTTGGGTTGCCAGGCTCATTTATAGATAGCGTGTATCAATGTCAACTCTCAGAGACCACAGGTCACAACAAAGACCTCTAGTCCGAACGCTCGGAGTGGCTGTCCAAGAAAATCACCTGTCTTGGGTTAAGCACCCAAGCAGTATGTCAGGGCATACAAAGATATGATTATTGATGAAGAAAACGTTTCCATACCCCACATAAACCCTATACACTATATATATCAATACGCAATTACAGAAAAATGTCATAATTTGCTTCGTCTTTCTATTGACTAGCCACTTCAATTTCGCGGATACTTCTCGTTTTTTACCCACTTAGAATCTCGTCTAAGGTGAGTATGTTCTATCTTGTTTAAACGTTCTCATTTTGTTCTATAGTCGAATTTATGAATGGTCCTACTAAATGTGGCGTGATACAGCTTCTCTGAAACCATATGTACCATCTAAATAACCTTTCATGAACATTTAGACTAATGAAGATCATAAAACAGATATGTTTGGCTGTCTTCGCTAGAGCGAAATACTACAGATTCGCTTTCCGTCTGTCGTTTCGAACAGTTTGTTTTATATTTATTTATTTGAACACATAAATATTGGTACAAGAGAGCGCCAATATATATGCGCCACACAAAACAATGAGAATGCGAAGAGAAATAGAAGAAAAAAACTAGGGAGTGCAGAAGAAAAAGAGAACAATAACGAAGAGATTGGTGTAAGGTAGTGTGGTAGTAACGAGGTACAATCAGAAGAAATCTTTCAGGTAGGGAGACATAACCACTTTTTATGAAGAAAGTAAAAGAAGGTCACAGCAGGATCGCCACTGGCTTCTATTCTGAGCCATATCTGATAACGTCTCTAGCCACTGTGTAGCACCATCTCTCGGACCCCAACCAGGGAGTCGTGAAGGACCAACACAAGCCAGTCCTTTGCAGCTTTCTTTCATGCCACGACACCATGTCATACACTGGCCACCTCTCCGGTTTTTCCAACCAGTCCCACAGTCGGCAAATAATGCACGACGTGGAATTCTCTGGGACGACATTCGTAGAACATGTCCAAGCCACCGAAGTCGGTGTTTCAAGATGGTGACACCAATTGAATTATCATCTCTGTGCCCGAACACACGATGCCGAACCTCTGCATTACTGACATGGTGTTGCCACTGAATGTCAGCAATCCTTCGGAGACAACGATGATCGAACACAGAGTCGTCTAACGTCCTCAACTCGGAGAGGCCAGGTTTCACAAACATAGAGCAAAACTGCTATCAACGACGCGTTGTAGATCCGACCCTTTACAGCCAGACTAACATCACGAAGGCGCCAAAGGTGGCCCAGATTGGCATAAGCCGCTCTGGCTTTCACTATTCGTGCATTGATCTCATCACTCACACCCCCACCAGCACTTATGCAGCTACCCAGATACACGAACTTCTCAACTACGTCTATCTGCTCACCGTCCAGGGTGAGTACAGGATTAGAATCCTGCCAGTCTTGTAGAAGTACTTTGCACTTCGAAGGTGCAAAGCACATACCATACCTACGGACATTGATTGCCAACTGATTAAGTGCGGATTGCATGCCTGGGGCATTATCGCACAGTAAGACAATATCGTCCGCATACTCAAGGTCGAGAAGTCTTTCTCCAGGCAACAGATCCACACCACCATTACTTGCATTCATCAGAGCTGTCTCTAGAATGTCATCGATGGCAAAGTTGAAGAGGAATGGTGATATTGGGTAACCCTGTCTAACCCCACTGCTCGAATGGAACAATGGAGAGAGGTGGTTGTATGCCCTCACTCTGCCTGAGGTGTTTGTATATAGGGCTTTTAGGATGTTAATAAACTTCTCAGGCACACCCTTCTTCAATAGACAATCCCAGAGAACAGCCCTGATGTCAAGAAACACTACGATTGTTGGCCTTTGATAAGTATGGCGGTGTTCTAACATTTGGCGGAGGGTGAAGATATGATCAATACATCCTCTACCAGAACGAAACCCAGCCTGCTCCTCGCGAGTCAATCTTTCTCGGGTTTTGAACAACCTACGAAGTATGACGGAAGCCAATAGCTTGGACGCAATCGGAAGTAGACTTATCCCCCGATAGTTGTTGCAGGAACGACGTGAACCCTTTTTAAAGATAGGGACAACTATCGACTCATTCCATGATGTTGCAATAAGCACCAGATCAGAGGAAGTAGTAATCGATTCGATACCCATTTGCAGTCCATTTATGTTGTTAGATTAAAAGGCTCCATCAAAGTGAGAAACTGGCATGAGGAACGTCTTTTAATAACCTTCCCATATGCCTGAACAAATTGTAGCTTCAGTGATGAGTTTTGTCAATAATTTAACGATCTTTTCGAGAAAGTGAGTACGACAGATAATGTATTGCTAACTGGAGATTCGAATGCACAGGCCAGGGGTCTCAGAACAGAAGAGAGCCACTTGAGTAGTCCATAAAGTAACGAAAACGTGTAGGAAATTGCCCTTAAATTGATGACTTTGTCCTTCATAAGTTGTACTTGAGGATCCCATATCCCAACAAAATTCTGATATATATTATAGAGAAAGTAAACCTAATTTAGCGAGATCATTGAAAACTTACCGTAAAGTTGTATCTGTAGCGACAGTTGCAAGGCAAGTGAATGCTTGTTCAGATACTTTTATCCCTTCAGTTTGTGCACGTATACGCAGGATTTGGATTACTTCTTCACAAGAATAGGGAAGGGTACGTATGATCATAACACGATCTAGTAAATCTAATGGGATTCCATGAGGAGAAATAATGTCTTCAGTGCCTCTAAATTATAATTGCAAAAGAAAATATCACCAAATAAAAACAAAAACAGTGATAAGAAATAGACCGTTTAAACACAGATGAATACAAATGATTCAGAGAAGCGATACCTTGCAGAGTTGGTTTTCAAAACCATAATACCCTAGAAAACAAACAATGTTTATAAGCTTATGACTTATTACATATATACGATTCAGCAGTCTTGGAAATAAATTCGTTGAAAAGAACTTTTCACTGAACTGATTGCTTTCTAACTTAATGAATATATAAGAGTTAATTAAAAAAACACATGCATTGTGTTAACTTAAATAACAAACACCAAATGAATGGAAATATGTAGTTGGAAGTATGAAGCCTATCTTATTAAGAAAGTCATATCAAGCATAAATATGAGACTACTAATAATAGTTGTAGTTTGTAAATCAATATCACTTAATCGGCATCAACAAATGATTAGAAACGAATATCAATTGATCTAAGCTATCAATATTAAGAAAAAGAGAAAAGAAGTTAACAAGATGAGAACCTAATGAAAGGAATTATTTCTAATTACGTCACTGAGACAGGTATTTCCCAATATTATTCAACACCTCCAACTACTGATTGGGAGTATTTCGAGGAATCCAATTGGGAAAGCTGTATTTATTTATAGCACTCATACTACTAGTAGTGAATTAGTTCATCGATTAATGCCATACCTTGATCTTCTTGCTCTTAATTTTCCCCCAAGGTTACTCAGCTAAGGAACTAAAATTGACGCTGTAAGCAATGATGTGCAAATTTTAGTAAATTCCAATGCATACCACGATCTTGTGATGACGAATATTAATTTTTAATACCAAAAAACCGAATTATATAAAGAGATTACACGATTGATAACCAGTTGATTACAATGGAATTATTTCACGATAAATGCTTCGGTTTTGGACTATGGATAATACTTAAGTGTATATGAATGCTATGAGACTAGACCAAATTAATACAAAGCCCAGATTACAAATGTATTTCAAGTGACGTATGTTAAATCTGATAAGACGAGCGATGACGTAAACCATAGCGGTGAGAATAATATATGAAACTGACTTGTCCAATCTCCTCTGACGTGTAATCACATCTTGAGGAGAAATAATGATATTATTCGGTCATTTGGTTATATCTATTGACTATAGATGGTTAATTTTATATGGTAAATGTGTCGCTGATTAACTGATGTTATGTACTACTAAGATTAAGTTATACAAATTTGACCGCAAATAAACTACATGAGAAGCGTTGTATTTATATAACATTTTGATTTATTTTTGGGGTCAAATAATTTTATGTCAGCAGCCTGTGTTTTCACTACGCATTATCAAACTTGGGGTTTCAGTACCAAGAGCAAACCAGTTGAGGATTCACATGCATAGGGGATGGGGTGAATTAACTAGAATCTGGATGATTTCAAGAGATAGATGAATGCCATGTTAGTGATGTTAATAAATTCCTAGAACAAATAGCCGAGAATGTCATTAATACAATCGATATTCTATCACTGATCACTTTTCACATTTACTGTAAAATGACAAAGCAACTTAAATGAAAACGCTGACCATATTATTTCATCAATTTTATAGAACGTATAGTTAACAAAATATTGACGTGAAACTTTTACCAACTCAAGTCGCTTGGTGCAGCATCGGATAACAAGTATGATCAAGATCGACGATTAAATATTAATAACACAGTAAGCGATGTTTGTTTTTAGGACTAAATATTTGTCAACTACCACGAAAGACTTCGCTGTTCAGGTTAGTTGCTCGAATAAACAGGTAACAAACAATGCTAATAGTGGTGAAACTAACACTATCCGCTATTAAACAGACAACAGAAAATAGGATAACACAAGAATATATTACGTCTAACAGTATCGATGATTTCACATGGCCCTAACAACTTTCTTCCTTCTCCATTAAACTTATCAATTAATTAATGATGCGGATACAAAGTCGTTTTCACGCGGATGAGTAGTGAATGAAAGTTATACTCTCTACAACAACTATTCAACAAAAAACCCTGGGACGTTGGATAACATAACCTAGTGAAAACACATTCCAATTACATAATTGGCAGTGACACTTCATCGAGAATTTGTATTTCATAACCATGATTCTAAATCTGAATTAACAGCAGGAATCATTGTGCAACCGAAATTCAATACCAAAATATAACATTGAAAGCAAACTAGTATCAGTTGGGGAAGCTACAACAATACCTAATTCGATTTGAAATAGTTTAGATTATCCCGTTGCTGATATTTGACTAAAATTTGATCAGTCTTGATTGGTATATTTACACCTTATGAGGATTCCCTCGATATACTCAAACACAACACAGACAAAATGGAATGTGGCTAGCAGTGGAATCCAGGACGCGCCCTTTGTCTTATTTCGGATTCGTCAGCCGGAAGTATGTGAAGCCCCGAATCGATGTCCACCCAATGACTCGAACCCAGAACCATTTACTTCAAACGCCACTGCGTTATCCACTTAGCTACTGAGTCTAAATAGCCACTCACTCGCGCAAGATAGATCTACCTGATGATTTCAAAATAGGACGAAACGCGCGTCCTGAAGTACACTGCTAGCCACATTCCATTTATCCCATATTATTACTACCCCCCTCTGTTTGAACAACCGGGTGGTATCATGAGCGCTCACATTTAGAATGTGGTTCGTATCCAAGAACCTGGAGAATAAGTTAATTTAAATCAAATTACTGTCAGTATCAAACTACTAAGATCCTCAGACATAAATGATCTCTTAGTTGATACAAATGTCACCACCATATATCTAAGGTATAGACAGTAAAAATTTACCATAGTAACCAAAAAATATTGTAAGATTCCACGCTCTAAAGACTGAAGAATTAGTATAGAAATAACAAAAATGGTACCTCCAGAAGAACCCTTCCACGGTGTGGGCAACCGGGAAGTGATAACCGCCCTCACACCTCTAACAGCACTCAACACCACTGTATTCATAATCAACCTCCCTCTTCAATTCCTATTATTCATCCTACATCGACTTTCAACTTTAAATTTCCTCTCCCGGCTTCCACCTCAAGTGTCACCATAGCCAACGATTCTTGTGCGCAAAATACTGTCCCAGGTCTACTGAAACCTCGCTCCAAACTACACATTGGAGCCTTCAACGTACGAACCCTATGTCAAATCGGTCAGCAGGCTTCCTTGGCTAAAACCCTAGAGTCTCTTACCATTGACGTGTGCTGTGTCTCCGAAACACGCATACAGGATTCCAGTGTGGTTATTCACTTGACCTCACCTCGGCAAAACGGAGAGCCAACGAGATACACCCTCCAAGTATCTGGTGACCCGATGGCAAGTTCTCGTGGATTGGCAGGTGTTATTATTATTATTATTTGAACACATAAATATTGGTACAAGAGAGCGCCAATATATATGCGCCACACAAAACAATGGGAATTCGAAGAGAAGTAGAAAGAAAAAAAGAAAAAAAAACTAAGGAACGCAAAAGAAAAAGAGAGTAATGACGAAGAGGTACAATCAGAAGAAATCTTTCAGTTAAGTAAGATACAACCACTTTTATGAAGAAAGTAAAAGAAGGTTACAGCAGGATCGCCACTGGCTTCTATTCTGAGCCATATCTGATAACGTCTCTAGCCACTGTGTTGCACCATCTCTCGGACCCCAGCCAGGGAGTCGTGAAGGACCAACACAAGCCAGTCCTTTGCAGCTTTCTTTCATGCCACGACACCATGTCATGCACTGACCACCTCTCCGCTTCTTCCAACTAGTCCCAGAGTCGGCAAATAATGCACGACGTGGAATTCTCTGGGACGACATTCGGAGAACATGTCCAAGCCACCGAAGTCGGTGTTTCAAGATGGTGACACCAATTGAGTTATCATCTCTGTGCCCGAACACACGATGCCGAACCTCTGCATTACTGACATGGTGTTGCCACTGAATGTCAGCAATCCTTCGGAGACAGCGATGATCGAACACAGAGAGTCGTCTAACGTCCTCAACTCGGAGAGGCCAGGTTTCACAAGCATAGAGCAAAACTGCTCTCACCGACGCGTTGTAGATCCGGCCTTTTACAGCCAGACTAACATCACGAAGGCGCCAAAGGTGGCCCAGATTGGCATAAGCCGCTCTGGCTTTCACTATTCGTGCATTGATCTCATCACTCACACCCCCACCAGCACTTATGTAGCTACCCAGATACACGAACTTCTCAACTACGTCTATCTGCTCACCATCCAGAGTGAGTACAGGACTAGAATCCTGCCAGTCTTGTAGAAGTACTTTGCACTTCGAAGGTGCAAAGCACATACCATACCTACGGACATTGATTGCCAACTGATTAAGTGCGGATTGCATGCCTTGGGCATTATCGCACAGTAAGACAATATCGTCCGCATACTCAAGGTCGAGAAGTCTTTCTCCAGGCAACAGATCCACACCACCATTACTTACATTCATCAGAGCTGTTTCCAGAATGTCATCGATGGCAAAGTTGAAGAGGAATGGTGAGATTGGGCAACCCTGCCTAACCCCACTGCTCGAATGGAACAATGGAGAGAGGTGGTTGTATGCCCTCACTCTGCCTGAGGTGTTTTTATACAGGGCTTTTAGGATGTTAATAAACTTCTCAGGCACACCCTTCTTCAATAGACAATCCCAGAGAACAGTCCTATCCAACGAATCGAAGGCAGCCCTGATGTCAAGAAACACTACGATTGTTGGCCTTTGAAAAGTATGGCGGTGTTCTAACATTTGGCGGAGGGTGAAGATATGATCAATACATCCTCGACCAGAACGAAACCCAGCCTGCTCCTCGCGAGTCAATCTTTCTCGGGTTTTGAACAACCTACGAAGTATGACGGAAGCCAATAGCTTGGACGCAATCGGAAGTAAACTTATCCCCCGATAGTTGTTACAAGAACGACGTGAACCCTTTTTAAAGATAGGGACAACTATCGACTCATTCCATGACGTTGGTACACTCTCTAGATCCCAAACCTTTGTAAACAACGTCGTCAATTCCTTAGTCAAAAAGTCACCACCATCTTTAAAAAGAGCCGGAGGTAAGTCATCTGGGCCAGGTGATTTGTAACGCTTCAAGAGTTGGAGTTCCTTGCGGACTTCCTCCTCATTTGGTGGATCAGTCGTCACCGGCCATGGAGGGCAGGACAGTCTGACCGATGTTACCGGAGCAGCAGGCCAGTTGAACTGCCCTTCGAAAAATTCTGCCCATCGTCCAAGACGTCGATGGATGTTAGTGATTGGCATCCCATCATCCTCGCAGATTGTTTCACTCACACCAGACTTCTTGCCGCCAGTGGCTCGGATGAGTTGGAAGAGCTTCCGGTAGTTACCAGATGCAGCTGCTGCTTCCAGCTCATTAGCACGCGTCGACCACCAGGCTTCTCGGTCCTTACGCAAGCTTTGCCCGATTTCCTTACGTAACATCCTTCGTTTATGGTCAAACTCACGGTTACCCGGAGTAGACCGACGGGCTTCAATGAGTTGTAAGGAACCTGCAGAAACCCAGTGCTTAAAAGCGGGACGTTTCGCAAACCCACAACTGACTGTTCCCGCCATTTTCATGGCGTCATGCAATTGCAACCAATGCTCATCTATACTTTTCGGTGGAGTGGTAGCTAGCCTAGAGGCTAGCTCAGTTCGATACTTACTTGCAACAGAAGTTGCAACCAGCTTGCTAACATCAATCCGTTGATGGCGTTCACTTCGTTGTCCACTGAAAAGTAAGGCAAGATTGGCGCAGACCAAGGCATGGTCAGAGTCCAGATAGGTACTCCAAAAGGAGCGGCAGTCTTGTACACAACCACGCCAGCGGTAGCTGATCGCGATGTGAATTGGCAGGTGTAGGGCCGAACAAGCACTGCTAGAGTGGGTCCCCGTCAACAGTCGTCTATGTGCTGTTCGGCTGAACGGCTACGTAAGAACTCGAAAGGATAGGGACACACGTCGTTGCCTTTTTGTCGTTTCTGCCTACGCTCCCACTGACTGCAGCTCAGATGAAGTGAAAGATTAATTTTACAGAAAGGTCTCTGAACTTCTTCAGAAAGCTAAACGTTCAGACATAGTACTCGTAGCAGGTGATTTTAATGCTCAGATAGGCAGTTTAAACCAAACAGAAAGACATTTAGGTGGATATTTTAGTATCCCGACACAGCGAACAGATAATGGTGATCGTCTGCTGCAGCTATGCTCAGACAATCGTTTATTTTTAGCAAATACAAATTTTAAGCATAAGGAGAGACATCGTCTAACATGGCGACCCCCTACAGCAAACCAACGATGGACTCAAATACACCATATTGCCATCAGTCATCGTTGGAGAGGGTCGGTAGAAGATTGTCACTCATTCTGGAGTACCTGCTTGGACTCCGACCATGCCCTAATACGGGCACGCATCTGCTTGCGCCTCACTGGACGCAAGAAAACCACATTAAAAAGACCCGTTAGAACTGAGCTGAGTAACGAGAAAACCAAAAGTAGGTTCCAGGAACAACTGAGGTCACACTTAGGTAGATGTGAAGACGAGGCTGACCCAGATGTTGCTTGGAAGGGCATACAATCAGCTGTGGAAACAGCAGTGACATCTATTAGTGACTTAAACCACAGAGTTGCAAGGAACCAGTGGATTTCTTCAAAGTCTATCACACTAAGGGGTTCTCGCAAACTCGTCCCATCAGGTTCCGAACATGATGAAGAGCGACAACAGATCAGATCTAGGTTAAGAATAAGTCTAGGGAACGACCGTGAGCAGTGGTGGGTAACGAAAGCAAAAGAGATGGAAAAGGCGGCGACTATAGGGAACACAAGACAGCTTTACAGACTTACAAAAGAAACTGGAATTAATAAGTCAAGTGTAAGTGAGATTATTTCGGAAAAAGATGATACTCTCATCTGCTCCCAGTCCAGACGTTTAGAACGATGGGCGGAACATTTCAGAGAACAGTTCAACTGGCCTTCAGCTACTCTACAACTACCCTCGATTCCCAGACAATGTGAATGGAACATTGAAGTAGGTCCCCCAACTCTTGCTGAAGTTGAGAAGGCTATAGTTAATCTGAAACGAGGAAGGGCAGCTGGTCCAGATGGACTGGCTCCAGAGGTCTTTAAGGATGGTGGTCCAATTTTAGCGATTAGGTTGACTAATATTTTAGCTAAGATCTGGGAGTCAGACGTTATTCCATCTGACTGGTCGCAATCACTTATAGTCCCAATATATAAGAAAGGGTCAAAATCATCCTGTGACAACCACAGAAGGATTAGTTTAACAAACATAGTATCTAAAATACTGGCCTCGATAATTATCAAACGCCTAACTAAGACTCGTGAACTACAAACTCGAGAGAACCAAGCTGGCTTTAGACCTGGTCGTGGCTGCATCGACCACATATTCACCATTCGTCAGGTTCTAGAACACAGGCATACTTATCGGCGTCCGACAATGGTGGTCTTTCCTGACTTAAAAGCAGCATTTGACTCTGTAAACCGCGAGACTCTGTGGCAGTGTCTGTCATTGAAAGGCGTACCTCAGAAGTACATAAACCTCGTGAAGGCTCTTTACTCGAACACTACTAGTCGAGTCAGGGCTTATGGCGAACTGTCATCTACTTTTGCAACCTCAAGTGGTGTCCGTCAAGGCTGTCCACTTTTCTCCATTTTTGTTTAACTTCATCATAGACCTATTGATGGAAATAACATTCTCGTCGACTGAATTCTCGGGTATTGATCTCCTTCCAGGAGGTCCACTTATCGACTTAGAATACGCAGATGACATAGTCCTGTTTGGTGAAGACGCTGATAAAATGCAGAGTCTTCTGGTAGCACTAAGCAACAATGCCAGAATGTTTGGGATGCGCTTCTCTCCCTCGAAATGCAAGTTGTTGCTTCAGGACTGGTCTGCGTCAACACCTGAACTAAGGATAGGGAGTGAAGTGGTCGAACGCGTTGACAACTTCACTTATCTTGGAAGTCTGATCAGCCCTAATGGATTGGTGTCTGACGAAATCTCAGCACGGATTCGAAAAGCTCGTTTGGCTCTTGCCAACTTACGTCACCTTTGGCGGAGGCGAGATATCCGTCTATCAATAAAAGGACGAGTATACTGCGCGGCAGTTCGTTCTGTTCTACTTTACGGCAGCGAGACATGGCCATTAAGAGTAGAAGACACCCGTAAGCTACTAGTATTTGACCACAGATGCCTTAGAAATATTGCTGGCATCTGCTGGGATCACCGGATAAGTAATAGTGAGGTTCAAAGCAAGGTATTAAGGAATGATGGTAAATCAGTTGATGAGGTTATGAATCTTCATCGACTGAGATGGTTGGGCCACGTATTACGTATCCCCGAACACCGATTACCACGACGTGCAATGCTATCCGGTATTGGAAATGGTTAGAAGAAAGTTAGGGTTGGACAAACCAAAACGTGGCATCAGTCATTGAAGTCACTAACTTCTAGTCTGAGCCATGTTGGTAGATGCAGACTACTTGGTTGGGGTCCGCGTGACTATCGTAACCAATGGTTGGAGACTCTTGGTGACATGGCTCAGAATCGATCACAATGGCGTCGGTGTATACACTCCCTGTCTTCCCTTAAACTAAGAGATTAAAATCACTTCATATCTTTCTTTCTACGAACTAATTCTTTCTTCCTATACTATATCCTTATTGCAATCTTTCTCCTATATATTACCACCTTTGACCTAACCACTACTATGAATCCGCTGTTCATCTTGCTGTGCTAATGAGGTATGGCAACCTGGACCGATCCACATATGTGCCTGGTCCTACGTTGTAGCTGACTGACTGACTGACTGATACCGAATTCATGAAATTAAAATGAGCTTGTATTTTACATAGTTTTCCAACACAACACTGAAAGATACAAAATTATTTACAATACAAATACCATTAATTTAAGAACAGAAAGTATATAAAATAGGCAGTTAACTAGTGACATCCCGAAATCAAAAACTGACCCTTTAAGATCAAAACTATTGTAAGATGCTAACTTTGAAAATTGACATTTGATGCGTGTGTATATTCCTGGTTAATTCTGAAAAAAAAACACCATGAATCGAGGAAAACGATAGTTAGCAGCGATTGATAGTAACACTTTTATCATAGTGATGACCATGAGCCAAAGAGTGTAATGTAAATAACAAAGTCTCCGGTTAGTATTTTTTGAATAGTATTAATCACTCAAGTTTTCAATTGTTTATGGATCTCAAAGTAGTCACTATTACGAACATAAACTTCACAATTCACAAAAGCTATAGTATGTTGTTCAATATGCGGTATCATAACACTTTAGTCATAAATCATTAATTGTACATAAGAATAATAAATGGTTATCACTGTGTTAATTATCCTTGCATCAGTTTGACTCTTCAAAGTGTACATCATGAAACAGGTAAAACGATTAGATAAAATCTGGAAGTTAGTTAAAATTATATAATTTTCACCTTTTTAAGAGTAAAAAACAGGATAGAGAATATTTTCACTGAATGTATCGAGTTTATACAAATAAAACATACCTGATGGTACATTTCCCCCGATTGGTAGCAAAAATAACGATGGGTGCGATTGTTGATTCGAGTGCCCGATGAAGATAAGTGAAACATTCGATGTCTAGCATGTGTACTTCATCAATAAACAACACACCAGGAACAAGTTCAGCGATGCCTTGATCTATGTATTTATTAACAACCTTGTTGATTTCCTTCCTTAGTTTATCTGTTTAAAAAAATGAAATACGCTACTGGAATTTAGATAATCCCATCAACAAATAAACATTACAGAACTAAAAAGAATATTTACTAGACATAACAAGATGGTCAAGCAACTTGGAATTTAATAATTACTAAATTGTTTGAACTTATCTGAAAAGCCTTGATAGTAAGTACTGCTTCAATTTAGGAGAGTAAAAGATGACAGTCCCAAACTAAATTAAATTGGTCCATATTTCCATACTATACAACATACAAAACAGGAAGTTGATAAGATAGATGAAAAACAGCTAAAAAGCAGTTAGGAATTCAACACTTACATCATGAAAGATAACTTGTCCAAGAACTACACATAATTCTCTTATTACTCATTTAGATCAAGACATGTTAGTAAAGTTGTAATCACCATATATATTGGCAGTGTGGCGCATATATATTGGCGCTCTCTTGTACCAATATTTATGTGTTCAAATAAATAAATAAATAATAAATGTAATCACCAACGCGGACGGAGATAACTAGTGGCTTCATAGGCTTACTTTGACCTAAATGATCACACTTTTTTACTACAATTGACATAATATTCTAGAGTAGACAGTAACTTATGATGGATTCAACTTGACACTGGTTGTCATGTATTGGCAGACTCCCTACCATAGGTCTGTCTTTTTTACAAAGTGAAAATCAACTGTGCGGAATAGGTTATTTAATGTGGGCTACATCTCCATACGAAATAGATTGTCCTATGAATGCTTATTCAGCATTAACCAATTACGCTGTGTTCCAGTGAAACAGTACAACTCCAGAAACCAAGTTAATTTCTACCTAAAGTAACCAGAGATCTGTAAATGTGGGAACCACTTACACAGCTCACTGTATGATGTAGAATGATGCTAAATATTGGTTATCGAAAACCGTGAACGAATAAGACACATGAAAATATGTTTCGATGTTAAATTACATGATATTATAATCAACCGACAGCAGGGTAGTACCACTAGTCTTCACACGCTAGTGTAAGTCCAAGATTAGTATGAGTATCTGCACTTAGAGTTGAATTATTAGTACCTTAATTTGAAAACAAAACTTCTTGCAAAGTAAGGATTACATTAAGTCACGAAACGTCAGAAATGCAGTTTTCTACGCTTCTTGATATAACAGAATTTTTATTATTAAGGATTAGTAACTTGGGTAGATACTCAGTACGTAGGATTTATCTGCGAAATCATTGATAATACTTTTTTTAAAGCCAAAAACAGTGTGGAAACCTCAGGTAACTACCTTAAACACCAACTTACTATAAGAATTTACGATAACGAGAGTCTGGAGAAAGTATTCAAATGTGTGAAAAACCTGTTTGCATCTCCTTTCAGTCAATAAACAGAATTTTTTAGGGAGTAATTTGAGTATGGCTATTTCAGGACCTGATGAGATTAAGCTCGTTGACATAACTTCGACCAAGCTTGAGTTACTCTAGGCTAAGCCAGTTTATTACTTGTGATTGCTAATTTGAGCAACCGAAACCCAGGTTTTTCAAAGTATCAACCATACTGTTTAATGTTCGTTACCGAACCTGTATTTACTAGACCTCTGTATCCATATGCAAGCATTGGTGGTCCTCAGGAAGAACGTATCCTAAGCGGTTAAATAATCTCGTTAAACTGACACTTGATATGCATGCAGTCTTACGATTTTTGACTCAACCCTCAATGATAAGTTATCGATATTTTACAAGTCATAAAACCATGAAACTGAATGTTCGCTGTGATGAAAACAATATTAAACGTTGACTCGCTAATATAAGGAAAACAAACTAGCATAAAAAGCCAAGAGGCATTAAGTTATAAAACTACACCTGTAATTTCCGTCTTTTTCGGTTTCATTAGCTGACCCATCATTGAGACAATATCTTGGCCCCCTTGAGGTCGGGCGTTTGCTACATCCAGATCGTGAAGTGTGACATCCTGAACAACATCTTTCTTTTTATGAACTTCCCCTTTTGGAAGAGGGACATACTCGTCAGCTTCTAAATCATATTCAGCTGTATAAACATCACATCTTCCCTGACGCTTGACTGCACCGGAGTTGGCTTCGATATAAATTACATCCCCGACCTCAACATGTTCTTTCTGAAGACTCTCATAAATACATGGGTCTAACTTCAATTGTTTGACACCTTTAGCAGTACGCAAACTGATAATAACGTGACTGATTGTTTTGCCGAAACCTGTTATTTTATTAAACAAATAGATTCAGTTACCTCCAGTTGGACTTTCAGTTTCTACCGGAGTTAACTCGGTTACTTCTCCTTCATAGACTTCTTTGATCTCTTTTATGCGCAAACCTGTAGTCTTTTATCATGAAGGCATTGGTGAAAATACCTATCGCTCGCCTGAAGTTCTCCATCAAAACTTCCGTCTTCTTTATTTCGGAAGAGTAAACCTCACTTCCAACCATCGGGCAAAATGGAACTTTCCCACCAAGGTCCTGAGCAATGGCTAAAGCTATTGCAGTCTGCGAAGCGCAAAATTTAGAAAATCATAATATAAAAAGTGTTTGGAGCTTGTGTTAGAATTTTGCTCTGATACAAGCATATTCAATCATACTAACCTTCCCAGTCCCTGGAGGCCCTGCCATTAAAACTGCACGTCCAGCCATTTTCTTTGATCTAATCATTTCTACTACAATACCAGCGGCCTGGTGTAAAAGTACATCGAAGAAATACACAATACTTCACGCGCGCACTCTTGACCAACAAGTCCACATGCATTTGACAGAGCAGTGCCAGTTTCATCTAACCCAAGGCCCTTGATGTGTGTATGGGCTGCTATTCTCTGAGTTTTCGATGTGCTGCGAACCTCTTCTATTTTCATTATTGTGGACAGTATTGACAAGATAGCCCTGACAACCGAGACGTATGGCGCTTGGAGCAACGGCTGATAATACTGAATGACTTAAACACCAACTTTTAAGTTAAATGGCCATGTCTTAAGCGTGTTGTATTAATGACAGTAAGTAGTCTAATCTGTGCTGTTAAATGCGGAGGCTAACTCTGTGGAAGTCAGTTTTCTCCAAATAATTCATTGGTGAGTTATATTCTTGCAGTAATAAATAAATCTCCAAAATCAATAGCTCTGTAAGTCTTCGACATTTGATGCTAACCACATTGGTTTTACTGTACACACCTAGCCGAAGGCGCTTGGTCACGCATCCGCAATAAATCACCAGTGGATACGCCGTGCCATTCATTCATTTCAACTACTAGCCAGCTTAAACCAAACGATTCTTGATATATCAATAACTTTCCAAATATATCGTTGAACTCCTTCGTTTCTAACTTCTACCCTGACTCTGTTGGCATACTTCGATTACGAAGGTGTTACCGATTAAAGCGTCTTCAAACTCCGAATACCTGTGGCATCCTTAGTGTTGAGACCGAAGTGAACTGGTACACCAATTCGTAGACTGTGAGGCTGTTTTTGTTGGAACATTATATATCATTTTTTGTTTTTTATTTTTATATCGTTTGATTTCGTTTTCAGATTTCCAGACACTTTCTCTCGTTCGTTTTTGTACTTTATGCTCATCATGCCGGAACAATCTCCTAATTTATTTGGGATTAGGACTTCTTCGTTTCCCTCATTTCAGCTAATTCCATTTGGGCCCGATAATGCCGAAGCCTGTTTCCGTTGTGTAGAAGCTAACTTTGAGCACGGCGTTTCAAACACACGTGCACAGTTTGTCGCAGTAATGCGGGAACTCTCGCGCGATTTCCTCAGGCAGGTCACACCTGGTATGCTTACTAGTGATGTTTGGGGACATTACGAAACTCTAAAAAGGGCTTTTCTTAATTGACCGAAAAGGTTAGGTCAACTCTTTCACAACATCAATCGACAACATGGCTCGACGACGGGCATGTTGCTACAAATGAGGGAGATCATTTTTCAACGGGCCTTTGACAAGGGCCTGTTTCAACAACATTTTTAGTTCAAGCTTCCTCAATAGGCGCAGGCAGTGCTTGTCTCATTTCAAAACAATGCTGTAGACGAACTGGATGCACCTGCCGACCGAATTCCAACGTCGATGTTTATTAAGTCAAGGAAAATCTCGAACGACAAGAAATGATGTCACAGAACTGTGCCATACTGTGACACGTTACCCTAGTATTCTTCATGGTCGTAGAAGCTGACAAACCCCGTAATTTTTCACGAAGACGATGTATCTCTAGATCATGAGAAACAAATGACCTTTTTTAGTGTTGTTATCGAAATAAGCATAGATAATCTTCTCGAAACTTCGGAAACCCCAGCAGTTTTCCGATTTCCCGAAAGACGTTCCAACAAACTTCCCATTAACAGCAACCGTGACCGGTGAACATAGCCGTTTGTTATGCATCGTTGGTGTGATAAAGAAAGTTCGCTACTTCGTCAAAATTGGTGCAGAAGTCAGCATTTTTCCCGTAATCCTAACGACAAACTCCACAAAGCAGTTTACAACCTACCGTCCGAAAATGGGAAGCCGATCGCCACATATAGTAAGACATATGCTTATCTTAACGTGAGTTTTCGTGAGCCCATTCACTGGATTTTCGTTGCTACAGAGGTTTTTTTAGTATGGACCTGCCACAACACCAAAATCTACTCACAGACCCGAGCAAGCGGAAGTAAGTAGATGGCTATACTGGATTGTCTATTTGTGGAACTTCATTTTCTAGCTGTAGGTTATCCTCAGTCATTTGTATGCACATAATCGATCCATACAATTAACAAATACTAGATAAGTACCCTGTTACACACCAAACGCAACCGAAATCGCCACGTTTAACCAGCACTGTTACACATCACACCACGACTACATGACCACCTGTATTTTCGACAGCGTTCAGAATAGCTCCCGAAAAGCTAAGGTTGGTCGACAACGAATTCGACCACATGATAGACTTAGGAATCATTCGGCCACCAAACAGCCCATAGGCATCTTCCTTACACATGGTCTCTAAAAACGACAGTAGTGATTAGCGTCTAACTGGTGACTATCAGTGTCTGAATACGAAAACCACTACCGATCGTCACCCGTCGCCTCACATTCACGATTTGAAAGCTACCCTAAAATGTACAACTGTCTTTTCAGAAATCGATTTGATTAAAGCGTATAACCAAATTACCGTGATTGCTGAGATTTCGTTTACTTGTCATCTTGTACTTTTGACCAGTCACATTGGAGTAAATTGAATTAATCTATCAAGCAGAGTAGAAAGGTGTCATTTACCTGACAGGGACCTCGTTGTATTCTGGTAAGTAACTAGGTACGTAGTCTAAAATAGTTTTCATGACTTGTTTGTATCCGATTTCAAGAATGTAAGTTGACCGTACAGCTTATTTCCAGAAACTATTCAGGTATATTATAATCTGTACATTTATACTTATTTCATATAAAATCAAAGCCAAAATTTCTTGCCGAATCTGGGATCGTGAAGAAGATTTATAGCTCAGGTGGATGATTTTGATGAAGTTTTGTTCTCTGAGCTCAGAAAACAAAATTCCATCAATATTTTACCGATTAATTATGTTCTGGGTTATATTCGTCGGTGAGTGCCACTGACTGAAAAATTAGGTCGTGCAGCTTACATCAGCCAAACTATTTCTGGACACTATTATACTGAACAGCTTCGTTTTGGCTATCGCATTGTTCCTTTGGATTTGATTTGTTGCAAAGAAGCCAAAATCCTTCATCTACACTGGCAGTGCCGATATTCTGTCTATCCAACAGTACTGTGGTTTTATCTACTGGAATTTTTCAGGTTGTCTGTATTTTATTTAAAATTACCGAGCATTTTCTTTTGAGTCTGAAATTACCAAACGGACGTGTTTCAGAAATACTGACTACCTTCCGTCTGTCTCAAGTTACTAAGCAATTTTTTGTGGTTGCCGAATATTTTCGTTTGTGAACATACACAGCTTTACGGTTCTAGACATAACCCACTGAAATAGAGTATAATGACAATCACACGTCAGTAGAATTCATTCTCAGAACCGATGAATGAAACAAGATTTTAACTCCTAGATAACTCTCTCCTGTCACAAAAAACACATTTTATACTTCACACCATGACCTAAAACCTAGTGACAAATTAGTAATGGTGAAGCTGACTCTAATTCAACTGCTCTAGGGATAAAATTACTTCTCTTACTAATGTAATGTGCATCAGACTATAAAGTTGGGAGATATAGTGGGATAAAAACGCGTTAAATATGCAAGAGAATCATTAGAGCATATAAATTAGAATGTGCGACTACGAGCGAGACCTCTGGTCGGCTCAACGAGGAAAGTATACAGTGACACCGTAATAACACCGAATAATCACGGCAAACATTTTTGAATCTAGAAACATAGTACTTTGGAAGATTGACATGATGTTGGAAAAATGGATGAGGTTAATACAGGTCAGTCTTATGAAACCATTATGGAAACTCCATGGCTCAGTCATGCAGGAGCGGTCATCCTGAAAATTTATACTCTTTATATTAGATATATTATTCTATTAGCAGTGTGAATATATTCTCCAAAGGTTTCCTATACACGGACCGGGACAATACTTAAATTTCCATAGTTTCTGTCCGTTGCAATACAAGAGAGGTCTAGTTAAGTGCCTCTTTAACAGGACTCGAAGAATATGTACCTCTAATATGGTGGAAAAAGATGAAAAGTTACTGACTGACACCTTAATAGCAAATGGCTATCCACTCAAGTTTATTAATAGGTGCAAAAGTCAGTTAATGCCGAGACCTCTAATTTATTCAGTGCCAAAGAAAAAGGTTTATATCAGTCTACCATATAGAGGCGAATCTAACAGTATAGTTTTAAGGCAGAGATTGAAAGCAGCCATCGAGAATACGTATTATGCTGCTCAGTTGGTAGTGATTGAAAAGTCTAAGGCCATGATTCCTAATAGACCCAAACAATGCACTAATGATTACGTCACATCCCATTGTATTTACCAATCTACATGTTTGTGTGGACACACATACATAGGGAGGAGTAATCGAACGATGCAATCAAGAGTCAATGAACATGTGCCCAGATGGCTTCAAAATCAGTGTTTGTCAAATGATCCGATCAATGTAGGAGGTAGAAAACCAAGTTCATCGATAGCGAAACATATAATTGAGACGGGGCACAAAACTGACACTAATACAGCATTTAGAACGTTGTATAGAAATTGTCAAGGTCGAATTCTTAAGTTTATTGAAGCCTTGGCTATTCGTAAATTTAAACCCCCCTTATGTGTACAAAAACAATTTGTTGTAACCTTGAATTTACCTTGGTAATCCTTAAGTCATTCTATGACCTAGGATAACGCGACAACTTCTTATTCTTTCTCTCCACTTAGTTATTTTAATTGTACTTTTATTTGTTTGACCTTTATTAATTTTCATATAAAAATGCCTTGACAAATATATGTGTGACCAGATTGTTCCAAATGGATAGCGCAAATACATCACATTTTTCAGATCAACTCCGTCTTCTCATTGTTCTATCGAAATTTATAAAAGGGACTAATTGGTTTAAATTTCTTTTATTGTTTAGCGCACTACTTTGCGTTAGAGAAGCCTTTGGCTGTATAGCACAGGCTGTACCGTTTGAAGTATTTTGTATTTTTGATATAATTTGTTCTATTTCCTAAATTAGAATCCTTTAAGTTAACCACAGAGTTTGTGTTTCGATATAATTTAGTACGAGTATCTCAAAAACGCTGGATACGCTATACAGAAGAACGTAGTCTGGCCTATTCGGATAGACTTTGGTTCGTCATTCCTGCTTTCAAACCGAATACTGGCAGTTCGGTCGTTGCGGCGTTTATCTACCAGACTTT